ATTTATTAGGCTGTATATCTTTATGGAAGCAGATGACCAGATATTTTATTTGGTGGAGGTGCTCAGTGGATTCAAACCACTTACTTTCTATTTTGCAGCCCCGTACTTAAACGGTGCACCACCAGGGATTCTAATGGCAGCGGAGACCTGTGAAAATACATGAAGGCCACCAAAATGGGAACAAGCAAAGGGTATTTCTTCAGACTTTGTTGCAACCAGGGAGACAGCTACCCATCACTAGTGATTTGGCAGAGACTCAAAGGCAGGGAAGGAGTTGGAAAGCTTCAGAACGGGAAAAAGAGGTCTCAGAAATGCCCTGATTGGAGGCTACTCAAGAGAGGAGGCTGGAGGCAGGCTAACTGGAAGTGGAACATTCTAAGTAGATATTTAAACCAGAAAAACCAAACCCACTACCACCGAGCAGATTCAGACATATAGTGACCCTATGTGGGATTCCCAGGCTCAAATCTTCCCAGAAGCACCTTATCTGGTGGATTTGAACTGTCAGCCTTATAGTTAGAGTCAGCCCAAGGCTTACCCAGTAACGTTAACTTTCTGGTGGAAAACTCCAAAAACCAAACTCACTGCCAGTGAGACAACTCCAGCTCATAGAGACCCTATAAGACAGACTAGAACTTCCCCTTTCGGTTTCAGAGACATATGGGAGCAGAGAGCCTAATCTTTGTCCTGTAGGTAAACAGGTGGGTTTGGACCTGTGACCTCGTGGTTAGTAGCTAAATACCTAGTCCCATATGCCAGCAGGCTCATTTCTCCATGGACAATATTTTGTAAAACAAAGACTCACAAAAACAAATATTTACTTATAAATGGTATTTTTTAAAAATTCCTAAAAGAGCAATTTTGTCTCATTTCCCAATGCAGAGAAAGGTTGGGCCTTCTGCCTAGAGAACTGGAAAGTATTTAATACCAGCTGTTACTTTATCTCTTCCGAATGGAAAACTTGGCATGAGAGCCAGAAGACCTGGTCTGGGATGGGAGCTCATCTGCTGGTGTCAACACCAAGGAGGAGCAGGCATTTGCTAATAAACCCTGAAGCAGGAGTCTGGCCTGGGGTTGAGAGGAGGGTTTAATTGTTCTGGGGTCTTGGTGTTGTGGCAGAGGGCTTTTAGAAAATAAATAAGAGAGCCTCCTAAAATTTTACATTGACACCTCTGTTCTGATTTTTATAAAACCTCTCCCCCACCCCCCAAATATTGGAGCATTTCAAATATATGAGAGCTTAGTGTAAGGATGAGGCACTTCAGCATGATATTTGTTTTTTCCTTCAACATGGAATTGTTTTATATATCATTAACTACGTAATAATGAGAAGGCATTAAGTGGAATGGAGAAACAATGTTGAATCTGGAAAATCACTATCAATGAGGAGAAATGAGTCAAGAAGACTCAAGGTCTTGTTTGGAGAGGGAAGAGGAGAAGGTGGGAGATCTGCCAGCAGCGGTTAAAGGCAGTTTGAAACAAAATGGAGTTCCTAGGTTACTATAGTAGATTCACACCTTTTGCACATTTTTCTTTCTTTTAAACAGTTTTATTGACATATACTTCATGTCTCATACAATTCAAGAGTTCGAGCATATTAAAAAGAGTTGTGTAATTATCACCACAATCAGTCTTAGAACATTTTCTTCTTTCTTGTACTCATTGTTATTTGCTCCCCATTTCCTGCTTTTTCTTAAGTAGTTTGATTGGCATATACTTCACATATAATACAGTT